AAGCAGCAAAAAATCAAACCTTCTCTCTCCCAGTCACCCAATGTGGATAACCAATGGTGTTTACTCATTGACTGGTGTCCCTAAAACTTTAATATATTTTTAAGACTTGTATATGAAAAACACATTCCCTGGTGGCATTATACTTTAAAAGACTCAAAAAACAAATAAATTAATTTAGCATGTTATGAAAGAATTAAACAATACCAACATATTTTTACTGCTCCCATGAGAACTACTATTTTCTTATGGGCCTGCTCTTTGCCTTTTGCCAAAATTCAAGATGGCCCCAGAGAAAGGCAGGATAAACCTGCTAGTCATTTACGTGAATGGCAATTGCCATTTCTGAGCATACATCTGGTAGAGGTCACCTTCCTAAAAAGGACAATACATTTCTTCTGACACCAAGTCCTCTGGGAGTTAACTACAAACACATTTCCCTTGTTTTAATACTGTTTTAACAAGCAGAAGTATTAATCTTTTTAAAAATATATTTCCTTAATAGGATTAAAATTCTTTTGTGATTGTTCTGGCATTTAAAATAATACTAGCAAATAAAAAAGTGGTATTTAGATCATCCTACAAGATTTTAAAGGGTTTTGTTCCACAGAATCATGCAAGATAATAAAATGTGACTGTACTACTTCTAAACCAATGGGGCGACATGTCACTTAGTTAAAAGAATTGATATATTTAGGGATAAATTCTTAAATACTTAATCAGAAATTATAAGATACACAAGATAACATGATTCATCTTCTTATTTGTATTTTCAGAAATAACTGCCCGTTTCTATGGTCCAGAGAGTTTTCAATGAGCTTCTCTAGGCCCCTTATGAACTCCCTCATCCCAAAGTCCAAAGGGCCACAGTGCTGCTGAAGAAGAGACTCATTTGCAGATCCTGCTCTGAGAAAACAGATCTTAGGACATCCTGAAGTAGTTCTTACAAATTCTGAATCCATCAGAGTCAACAGCAAAACCATCATTGACTTTAACAGGGTCTGGATTTGTCTCTGAAGTCTCTTCACTACAAAGTAACTTTGCCAACTTACAGAGGTGGCTTCTGTGAGATGGCCAGCTTGACTACCATGGTCAAAATGCCAACACAGTAGGCAGTTCACTCACAGGTAAGTGGAATTCTAACATTTTTAGTTGTATGCGGTGTTTGAAAACAGGGATTATTAGTCTTAAAACAGGCAGAAATTAGTTGGATATGGATTTGGTAACGTGAGGAAGGGGCCATGAGTCCACGAGGGAAGTGTGCTACAACATACTTATCTACTCAGCAGTATACATCAACCAAGTGTCACAATGGTATTCCATAAGTACATAGTGAAATGTGAATTATCTTATGGAAATGGTGGTTGCAAACACATTTGTACTTTGTTCTCTAATTCACTCCAGTTTGCCTGTTGTGTTGTTGAGAAGATAGCCTTGACACAATAGTTAAACTTTTACTCAGTGTGATTCTGGCAAATAAGGGGTTTGATAGAGTTTTTTTTCTTTAATTGGAGACAATGTTAGAGCTACATCTGTAATATACTTTATCACAAATTAATCACAGAACAACAGGAAATGTACTGTTCATTACTCATGCCATACTGAAAATATGAATACTACATTTTCTTACTTTGATTGGAGGCAACAGTTGTTTTTTTACCCAATACAAGTCGAAATGGTAGGAGGGAGGTAGGAAATGGAAGCATACTGAAAAAAATATTACTGATATACTGTAATTTGATACATATGTCCTGTAACTTTTATGAACAGCATTGGTAAAAAATTTTAATGTGATTAATGTGTTTTTAAAAGGATTTTGGTCTTCCATTGACTGAATGATATTCCATTGACAATAATTATCAGAACTAAGTGCATGAGTAGGAAGATTATCATCATCACAAAGACCTGGAATTCTACAATTTCAGTTTGAAATAGCACTACAAGACAATATCAATAATAGCACTAAGTGTATTTCCTATGCAGGAAGATGTAAGTGCACTTAGAAGCAAAACAAGAATATTTACATTTAGAACAAAATTAAGTACTTTGAGCTACACAGTCACTGAAGGACTTTTATTTTCAATAGTAACTCCTACCTTCATTAAAAAAAAAGCACAATAAATCTGTCTTATTATCAGCTAAGCTTATCTGAGCTTGCAGGTTTGACTTTTTAGATCTTGTCTTTTGAGATTGCATTGATGTAAAGCCTCAGGTATTATTTATAGCACTCATGGAAAAAATCAATAACCCATATATATATTTGCAAATATAAAAGAACATAGAAATGCTGAATATTTACACCACATGGGCACAAGAGAAAAAACTGAATGTATTAAGTATATCTGAGTGCCAATCCCGCTCCCAAACATTCCTTCTCTACAGGAACAATGTAGAAGAATAGAGAAAGTGCTCTAACTGCAGTTGGAGAAAAGGCAGAAAATTGGTTATATTTCAAAAATATGAACATTTTTCACTGGACACAATATACTCATTGTATGCCATGTTTTGGAACACATAATTCTCAGGCACTGAAGGTCATTGCTTGCCCAGAGGAAACAGAAATCATAATCAATGCCATAGTATGGTAATACATAAATTAATAAAATCTAAGCACAAACAACTTGATAAACACAGCACCACGATGCTTCATGGAGCCAGGAAAATCTCTGCACTTGAAAAAAACATGCAAGACATGGACACTACCCTTTAAAAAAACTTGGAAAACCTTTTCTAAACTATGTGATTCACCAAAGCTCTAATTTCTTAGAAATGAACCTTCTGAGTATTTTGCACTCGGAAGCACCAGTAGCTATAAATCTGGCTAGATACATACATGCCTACCTTATGGGTCAGTTCTCTATGGTTGCAAAAGATAGTACGAAGCATAGCACAAATGTCTGTGAAATAATTTTTAATAAATTTTAACAATATGAGCAATTATTTATATCTGAATATTTTGGAAATCAGGATAGCTTTGGCATTTCTGAACCATGAAAAATAATTTCTTTTGCACCAGTCCAATCAGATAGCCTTACAGCAAGCAAAATCTAAACAGATGAAATCATAAAGTAGAAAAACAAGGACATTATGCTGTTGAATCTAGTGACCTGAGCAGGTAAAGCCCCATTAAAAATAGTTTGTCACCAGATTTGACAAGATGGTGGTTACTAGGCACAGAATTAAATATTTTTAGACATTCACTGGAAGACTGTTCTTTTCAACAGTGGCTACATTTTTGTTATTAATTCAACAATTCAACCACAGAAAAAGTAAACAATCTAAAGTATTCTTTTGAAAAAAGCCATCAGAGAATAAAGATGTACTAATTATTGAAGATATCTGCCTCATCCATGGATGTGGCTCCAAGATTGAATCCAGCCCGGCGTAAGGAAAAATAAAGAGTGCAAATTCAATACACGCAGGAGAGCCGGGCTTGGCTTCATGCCCACTGTCATGAGAGTTAAAATCCATTTCCAAGATCCACTATAACACTTTCCTCTTAAGCTTCCTCTGGGTCACAATGACCTTTGCTAAACACTGTAACAAGTGATAAAAATGAAGACTGGGAGTACATTTGTTGCAGAGTTAAAATTGAAAGGAATCAGGAGATCTGAAACAGATTGCAGATAAATGTAATATACTGCTCAGCTACATTCCTCTTTGTTCCAGATGTGTGATTTGTTACTAGTTATAACAGAATGCAAATTGTATTTTGTAGAGACTAAAACCAACACATTACAGAATGCAGAAGCACTGTCTATCTATTTCTAAAAGGAAATTGCACCTGCCTGCAATCTTGTCCTCATTTGACTGAGCCCTCCGAGTATTACAATGATTTAATGCAACAGCTTTTCACATTTGAAGGGTGTGGTTCAGCTCCAGCTTCACAGAAATGAGTCTAAGAGTCTAAATTTAGCAGGTAGTAAAAGTTTATCCATGAAAACAAAAAAAAGGACAAAAAACTCTCTTCACATAACTGTGTACATCAGTGTAATTCACAGATTGTGCCCTGCTGTTTCCGTGGGACTGACCTACATCAGTCGTATTTTCAGTCTTGCAATTCTCACAGGCAAAGTGGACAGCATACCCACTTATTTGCATCAATGCCATCCTTCTCACACTCTCAGAAACACTGACCCCTAAATGGTTATAAAGGAGCATGGGAGTTTACCCATGCAGCTGTAGTCCTGAGTACTGGCCCTGAGTACTGGCCCTGATCACTGCAAAAGTAAACAGTCATTTAAAGTTACTGTGTTAAAATGTTCCAAATTATCTTCAAGCAAAAATGTGAAGCGAAGCTTTGTTTTTATTTGCTCTTTCCAAGAGGCAAAGATAAGGGATGCAGTAAAAATAATCATACTACAAAAGGAAACAAGGCCTGCCATTTACAACAACCCAATGTGAGGAAAAGGGAGACAGGTGACATTGAAAAACCGGTTTCAATTGTTAATGTTGAGGACACTGTTACAATTGTCATTCTTGTCTGGTCTCAGCTCCTGACATTTTTTCATGATTTACTACAGTCCTCACCCAAGCAAAATTTCTACAGAGTTCAGTAACATTTTTGTGGGAGCAAAATTAAGTAAAACAAGGAAGAGATGAAAATGCAGAGCCGTCTGCTGCAATGAATGGGGCTATTTGTGCAGCAAGGAACTGTTCAAAAGCCTGTGTTGGCATATTACCCTTCATCCCCAAGTAAACTTCAAACACACACATGCTGTCTCCAAACCCAGCAGGAACTACCGGCAACACCAATACAGCTCAGTTCCTATCCATCACAAGTACCCTCCCGTTCTGTGCAGTGCTCACACCAGGACAGGGCCTTCTATTTTGTGTCCCAGCATGTTGCCACTTTGCAAGAAGTGCTGCACGCAAAATACTCATAGGAACTCAGCAGGAGTCGCTGCCTCATGCAGAGTCAAGAGACTGGCTAACAGTGGGGGTCACTGAGGAGGGGTTTGCAGAATACTTTGTAGCAACCCACCTGTCCCCTTCTGTCTACAGGTGCAGAGCAGCAGATTGGTTCATGAGGAAATTTGGAGCCAGATTTTGAATGCCCAATATTCTTCAGACTGTGACATTTTCCAAAGGCTTTGCTGTGGAAAGAAACACACAGGTGATCACATATTAGGATAAGCATTGTGCAGGAAGACTTGCACAGAGCTACTTATTTGGGAGCCCTGCTGCCAAAGAGAGCTGCCAGAGGAAACAATATGGGATTGCTTACATCCTTCATGAGGCAGATGCCCAAGTAGGAACTACAGAAAGAGACAGTAACTCTGAGAGAATGTGGAAGCCTGCCTCAACCACAAGAGATCAGCTGACTGGTGGCATCATGTATTGGTATGAGGCAAAGTCAGTCAACTCTCACCAAACAAATATCTCAGCAGGAACCCACAGGCAGGAACCCTTACATTGAAAAATAAGACACCATGTCCCATTAAGATGCCACATGGGCAGAAGTTGCTGCATTATATAATGGTGAGCTTGGCTCCTACCTCTCTGCATGGTAGGCATTCTCAGCTCCCAATGAGTTCACAACTTGGAGGAGCTGTGAGATGTTGCCCCTGGCCATGGGTGTGGCTTTTAGCACCACCATAATTTCCTGGCTCTTCTGTCTCTGTTGTCTATGTCAAGCATTTTGAAGTGGCAATGTTACTTATTTCTAAGTGCAGTTGCCACTGATGCTGAACAGTGATCCATTGTTCCTATTGTTGCTTCTGAACTCAGTGGTTCACAAAAACAATGCTTAAGATGCAACTTCAGCACAGGGAGTCTCAAAATTGCTGACTGTCAGAAGCTGGAAGAATCACTGTCCTTGCTCTTTTTCCTACGCTTCTCCATGAGCACCTTCTGCTGGCTGCTGTCAAGAAAAAGTTGCTGAGATGTTTAGTACACACATATGTTGCTCCCCTTATGGTCTTCCTCTGGCATTTCCCTAATCAACACTAATAGCTAAGGTTCAGTTATTTCAACTGACAATGCTGATGTCCTTCCTAATGTTGTTTAAAAACTCCTTTCAAAGTGTGATACTTTGATTTTCCATGTCAGTGTCCTTTCCAGATTGTACTGCATTGACTGAAGTAACCACACCATGGGAGTGAAGTAATCTTTGCTTAACAACAAAGAAAAGCCTGAAATAAATATTGGAACATATTGATATGCTCTGGTTTGGACATAACTACCTAAAAAAAAAAATAAACACATCTCCCCCGCAGAAAAAAAAATAATTATCTGATCTGCATTCTGTCACCTGGTTCTCATGAAGATTTACAAATTCAAGAATAACAACAGAAATTTTTGAAGAAGGGGAAAATTAGTGAAGATAAACTTCACTAGCATTTTCCAGCTTTTGATAAAATGTCAAATGGGTGTTTATTTTTTTTCCATTTTGAAATCCTAATTTCACCAGCTGTTTTCTCTTTCCCCAAGGGAAAATGAGATAAAGGTCTCAAAAACATAAGAAAGTGGCATTATTTTCTGCAGAATTCCTCATTTCATTAAGAAATTCTGAATCAAAGGGTTTCTGTGTTTTAAAAATAAAAATTAAAAAATCAGAAACTATATATTCAAGGAACAAGTAAACAAGCATTTTTTCAACACCCTTCACTCATAAAAGGTAAGACAACGATGTACTATATGTGGAATAGAATAAATAATGATCAGTACTGCACAGCAACTCTGAATTTTAAACATATGGCAGAAGGGTATGGGGGTTCCAGGGAGAAATAAAACTTATTAAAATGACCAGATAATTTTAAAGGCAGAGACTTAAGATGAGAGAAATCAATGTCCACAGGACCCAAAGGTGCACGCTAGACAGTGTGAGGGCTATGGGGGAAGCCTGTATGGTTTCCAAGTAGAACTTTAAGTTATTTAGTAAAACAATTGTACAAGATATGCTTGCCTTTTTCTTGAGTAAGAGTTACTCTCAAAGGAAACCAAGTTCAATAGCATTCAAAATATTTTTAAATTTATATATTTGGACAGACAGAGGTATTAGTTTACTAAAGAATGGGCAACATCCATAAGGGACAACTAATGAAATTTGCTGTATCATTGCTTACCACAATAAATGGCAATATTTTAATATAGAGTATATTCAAATGCTATGTCACAGTATTTTCAGCAATGTAACTGCAAACTGCAAGTGCCACACCAAATTGACTGAAAAAGAAAAATACCTGTACTATTCCTGAACCAAAAAAGAAAGTTCATTTTAAAAAATACGTGAAATTAATGACAAACTAAGTCTTAAATCTTAAAAAAGGAATTCATAAATATCCCACATCCATTTAAGACTTTTTTAAACAATAAACTTTGTGAGAAAGATACTTGCAAACAGATATTACATTCAAGATTATATTCCTGAAATTGTCTCCACATCTTTAAACACTTGCAGAGGTTCATTTCTGGCTAAGAATTCAAATCATACGTCATACCACAGTTTTGGATAAACAATGATCAAAACAGACTAGAAGAGCAATCATGAAAGGACTAAACAACAGAGAGAAACGATAACGATGAAATGTTGATTTGCCCCTGTGTGGCAGATTAAGGAACCTGTACAGAGCGGATGTCACATTTTTTTAGCAATGCATGTACCCAAATTTGCTTTTGGCAAACATTGCTTAACTGCTGCTGTTTTTCATGAAGTCAATGAAGACTTGAGTTAGATAATGAGCTGGCATGCACTTTTGAAATGTTTACTGTGTTCCTTAAAGTAAGGGGAACATGCTGGTTCTTAAACTAATTTGTTTTTTGTTGTTGGCTTCCCCCATCTCTCCCCTACTATTCTGTTCTCCCTGTCTTTGGAATAAACAGAAAACGACTGAGTCTTTTTATACTTTTTTATTTTAACAATTATACAACCGAAGAATCAGTACTTTCCAAATGGCAAACAACTGAGCCATGTCAAGAGCCATGTTAATCTCATGTGTTCACTCCATTGTTAACAGTGAAGGAAGGGGGATGGGGAGGACAAAATAAAATCTATCTATTCTGGCCTAGATGCAGGATATGAACAAGGAGGCATTCCACAAACAATGTAGTCTTTTTCTTCTGGCAGGGGGAGGTGAAGGGGAAGATGATGGTAGGAGGACTTTTGTGGAAGGGGAAGCTGCACCCATCTTGCTAGTCAATACAGCATTCAGAAAGCTTGCATGGTGGGAAGAATTTCCCACCCATTGTTAACTAGGAACTTGATTTGAAGATGCAGTTTTTAATTAAAATTGGCACTTCCAAGCTTCATGCTGGCGTCCACCATCTTGCTAAACACTGAGCTCATTTGTGGTTCCAGCAGTTTGCAAACGCAGTCTTAGAAGTGACAAACCATTTCCCATCCTGCCACCCTTACGCAGTGCTTAGTCCCCATCTCATCCTGAGTAAATGGGAAATTTACTCCAGTAAGACAAAGCAAGGACTGTAGGATGTGACCTCATTTAGCTAGAATCCACAGATCCCAGCCTTTATTACTTTTAAGGCATTATTAACAGACCCAAATTCTTCAGAAATGTTTGGAGGAAAACAGAGTCAGTTGTTTTCAAGGCTTCTATATGCTTCGCTTCACTCAGACATCTACAGTCATCATTATGGATTACAGATCCTACTGCTTAGCTTACATTTCATTCTCCTCTTACTTCCAGACAATAGAATTCAAAGATAGAAATTCTAAAATATTACCACCAACAACAAAACTTTCTGGGTAGATAAGATCTAGAATTTATGTTTCACATGGATGGAGAAAATGGCTAATTTGTTTTGTTGATTTAATGAATCAAGTATGAATGAATATAACCTATTTAATGAATATATTTGCATATGTAATGCATTCTGACTTGAGGGATCTTGGATGAAAAACCTAGTTACTGCTTTGCTGAAAAAAATAGCAAAATATCTTCATAATACCCTCATTAAGAGATCACATCTCATTATTTAGGACCTTTTTTCTAAATAGTCCTCTGGGGGAAAAAAAAGAGAAGAAAAAAGTCTATTTTTTCTAGCTATGCGTATTCTGAGATGTTGAAGGACAAGCTGGGAGGGTGATTTTTCTGGTTTTTAAATTTTATTTGGATAGATGTCTTTACAATGTCTAACATTGTTAGGTTCACTACAAAGGATTTCATTTCATCTTACAGTAGAAGAGTAATATTATACAAATTGCATAAGGGACTTCACAAGACTATCCAGTTCATGTGAATACTAGCTAGCAAAGCAAGCTGTTGTTGGCTTTTGAAAAATCTGTCAACAATTAAGCTCATCAAAAGGAAATTCATAAGCCGATTTAGCAGAAATGTCTCACAAAGCCTGAGCACTGTAAGGTACATTCATGTATTTAGTTCAATTAAATTTCTATTCATGAATTAAAAGATTCATATATTTGTATTAAAAGCTTGCCGAATGTACAAATCCAAATATAGACAGAACCTCAAGATTTCTAAATTACTGCAATTTGGAGTCATTTGCAGAATGATCTTCCAACAGGAACAAATCAGTGTTCCAAGCCTTCTCACATTATTCTGAGAAATACCGTCTTTCAAAAAGTAGTACAAAAAATGGAAGATATCTAACACCTACACTCAGTGTCCATTTACTTCTGAAAAGAAAACCAATATTTATTACTGCATTTACAACATTCTATAGTCTTTATTTAAGCCAGAGGACAAGGTCTTAAGAGGGTTCTACAGAGTATGAGAGTTCTTCAGTAATGACACCAAAGTAGGTAATCCAACAAAATAATGTCTGCACTGCAAACTGTCTGTCCATCTCCCAAAAAAAAGGAGTTCTTTTGTCTCATGACTTGTCCAAACCATTCTTAGCAATCTAGAGAAGTCTCTCCAGGAAATTACAGGCTTCATTATGGAAATTCTCTCTTCACTGCATGTTAATTTGATTATTTTTATTCAGAATTTTGCATATATACGCCACTTGACCAGATCTGACTCATCACACTTGCTCTTTATTTAAGACTTTATTCTAGCTTCTTCCAGTAATGAATTTATGTTGATTTTGTAAGATCCCGTTCATGACCTTAAAGCTAGTTCACAGGGTCAGACCTTTCATTTTTCTGTGTTCAGCTATTACTTTCTGCCACTGC